GCCACCTTCTGTAGACAGGCTTAATCTTTCTTCAAAATCAAAGAATTGGATTAACTAGCATAATCCAACCATTAACAGATCTAATAGTGGCTTCCTTAGGGGGTAAAGGACAGCACTGAAAAAAAAAAATCTTTTTTTTTACCCAGACCACACAGTGGATCTGTGGGGTGAGAATCATTCATTTCTCTACCTGAGTACTGTGATCCCAATTCTAAACTTGTAGCTAGTAACTCAAACCAACAAAAATCAGATGTATTATGTCTGATTCTTATGTAAAATATATAGTTTGGTCCTGACATTTATGGATCTAAAACATTTTAATTAAATATGACATTCAGTGTCAGAGAAAATGAGTGCAAGCTTAGGGAAGTTATGCTGAAAAGGGTACAGAAAGTACAACTGTTCGGATGGGCTACCCGATCATTCTGGGAGACCAAGAGAAAGATTGTACAGGGATGGGGAGAGAAATACTTCCTTCTCACAGATACCCCATCAAAAGACCGTATCATCTCTGTTCCTTACTCCCCAAGTGTTGAATGGGAATTGTTGGATTTTAATGGACAAGATTAGCTGCCATCTGGAGGAAGAACAATGCCTTTGATGAGCTAAGTGCCAACCACCAAAATGTTCGGGGAAAGGGAGGAACGTGGTGGGTTTGTGTAACCTTTTTCTAAAGCACAATCCAAACACAATGGATGGACTCAGAGGTTGGCTGCATTCTTACAACACGTTCAGCCTGATTCCTGAACAACCCCATTTTCTGGGTTCACACAATTTCATCCTGAACTACTCTGTTTAAGTACTTAAGCTTCAAAAATAAAGAGTGACTGGATTCAGACTGTGGTTTGTTTGGTTTTATCTGAACAGACTGAGTGAATCCACCCATCAATGCTTTATTCAGAAAATAATGAAATGATGGCTTAGTGCAACTTACTCTGTCTGTCTCTTTTTCATTCTTGTGTAGTATGTATATCATAATGATTTTTGGTTATTAACAATTAAGAAATACCTTTGGAATGTCCATAGTAGTCAGTATTAAGTAATTAATCAAACTTGTGAATCAAAAGAAATTCCCATGGATAAAAACAGCTCAGCCCAATTTTTGGGAAGAGAGTTAACTTAGTCAACAGTAGATTGGCTCATTGATGGGAAGGAAATCATTAAACCAAGTTCTGGCAAGGATTTCATCATGACCTCTTCTGATCCACAAACAAAAATCCCTTAGTGCATCACAGTATACAATACTGGTAAAGTTAGGTAATAAGCTTTCCAAATCACTAAACTAACCTTGGAATATTGCAAGCACTGTAAAATAGGAATCTGACTTTTTCCTTACTTGAGTTTTCAAGGCTTGAAGCTGTGCATCATAATTCTGAGCCATCTCATATTTTGTCTTTTGTAAGCTGTCCAGCTTCTGTCTGAGTAAGCCAACCTGTATTTGAAAGGGATTTTATTCTGAGCCTTAAAACAAATCCAGTAGCAAAATTAATCACACAGAGAGCTACATATAACAAATAAGACTGTATTAACATTAGAACAAACACTGTAAATCAATAATAATAATAATAATAATAATAATAATAATAATAATACATTACATTGCAATACCTGGAGACAGCAGAATAGAAGAGAAAGAACTGGAGAACATTACAAAATACAAAGATCAGCAAATAGAAGTAGAACGACTGTGGTGAAAGAATGCAAAGATAGTATGAACAGTAATAGGCACCTTGGGTGCAATCCCAAAACATCTGGAGCAAACCTGAAGACCATCAACATTGACAAAATCACCACCAGTCAATTGCAAAAGGCAGCTTTACTTGGAACAGCTTATATCCTGCAACAACACCTTTAACCCCATCA